CTAATGATACATTGAGGGCAATATCAAAGGAACAATACCAAAACAAAACGAGGGAACAATGAAGAAAAAGGAAAACAAATGGAAAATAAGAAAAAGTAAAAATACCACAAGATCAATCAAAGAGAAGTATCACATAGTCAACAAACTGCTAAAATATGAAGGAAGCAATATAATTTATTACAGAAAGTATTCAATACATCAAATAAATACTATTTAATTAATAAAATCCAAAATCTGTCAGAATAATAAATGTTACCCCAGGTATTGCTGGTAGCCATTAAATTGTATTTTGGCAGCTATAAAACACTATAGACTTGCTGGTGCTCTTAATGAAGGAAAATCAATGGCTTTCTCACAGAAACCATTAAGCCCAGAATGAATTAAACTGAGGTCTGTCATGTTTGTGAGGTGGGCTGACTGAACCTAAACATATGACTCCACTTTATGAGGTCTTATCTATTTAGTTTAAAGATATTTCTGAAGCTATATTCTGTCATGCAGTGAATTACCAATCTCTGTTATTTGTGGCAATCTCAATCCAACCTAACATGATACTTGGGACACAGCCAACACTTAAGTGGTTTTTGATAGCAAAATACTGTAAGTTCCCTGTGAACCTGCCTGATCAGTCACTATTGCCACATTTTCTCCTTATCCACAAGATGTTATGTAAGACTCTGTTAAATGTCTGGCTGAAATTAAGACTCAGTATGATTACATTTCTGCTAAGTAACCATGTTTAAAAAGGATAAATAAAGAGAATATAAAGACAGTGAGCACAATGGAACTCAACACTGCTGATATTGTCTGCCTGCCTTTCTCAATGCCCACAAAGTGTGACTTTAATAATCGTAATTATCCCCCCTTGTAAGGGAAACGAACAGGACTGGAAGCAAGGAAACCAGTTAAACAGTGAATCAGAGTATTCCAGATAAATGGCGCTGAAGGGTCCAGATAAATGAGAAGGAACAGGGTGAAAGGACAGACAGAGGCCATGGAGACACTACTGATTCATAGGGCTTAACAACAAAACAGGGATGTAAAGGAGGGCCAATCAAATATGACACTGAAGTATGCCAACTTCAAAAGCTGGGGGAAAGTAGTGTCATCACAGAAATAAGGAACAGAGAAACAAGGCCGAAGCCATTTCACAGCAATGACGGTTACTGTTTAGGATCCCCTCGTTACAAGAGAGGTTGCTGTGGTTGAGGAACTTCCCAATAGGATAGCTTATGAAAATATTTATAAAGTTTATACAAAAAAATTTGACAATTTGTGGAATAGCTACAAAGAAATCCTATTTCTTCACCTTACCTCTTTTTTTTTTATAACAGACTAGGAAATATTAGCAAAAGGCATTTTATGACACTGCAGTGGGTCAAATCTGTCAGGAAATCAAACACTGATTCTGTCTGGACCAGGTAACACTACGTACTCAAAGGTCAAGGAGCTGAGTCTTTGAATGATTTATCACCGTGACAGCAAAGGGAACAGAGTTCATGAAACTAGGAAGAAGGTATGAAATAATATTTGGATTTCCTCCTCGCAGAATGGAGCATACTGTGAAAATATAGAAGAGAGTACTCTGATATATACCCAGACAACAGAAGGGATCAGGTATTTTATTTTTGTATTAGGTAGTGTTGAGAAACTAGAGGAATATTACATATACTTGATATACATAAATATATGTGAGATATATGTATATGAGTTAACCTCTTTTATCTTTCAATAATGGCTCTGCAGACAAAAATTTCAAACACAGACTTCAGAAGTTTTAGTGTTGCCTACAGAAGTTCACAGGAGGTCTGCTCAGTGGCTCCGGAGAGCATATAGCCTGGGGTGGCCTCGGAACCTGATCTGGAAAGCCACTGTGCCATCTTGGCCATTCCTCAAGCAATGTGACCAGTGTCAGCTTCTGAGATTGATTTATTTACTTTTAAAATTTATTTCTTCAGTCTGATCAGACCTAGAATCCATTCCTTATCTTCAAGCTACCACTGTAATTGTTACTCCAACCCATAACATTTAAATTCTCAGAGGAATTCTTTTTTCCCAAGTTCTGGGATAAGGAGGCACTTCTCTTTTTTGTCCCATTTATTAAATCTACACATATAATTACTGTATATATATATGGACAGATGATTTCTAACTTAGGTTTATGGGAAAGGGGGAGTTGGAGGAAGATGGTCAAAATACAAACTTCCAGTTATAATTTCTAGAACTGTGATGCACAACATGACTATAGTTACCATTTTGCTGTGTGATATATATGGAAGTTGTTAAGTGAGTGAATTCTAAAAGTTCTCATCTCAAGGAGAAAATTAATTCTTTTTTTCCCCATTTCTTTTTATTATATCAATATGAGATGATGGATGTTAACAAGACCTATTGTGGCAATCACTTCATGACATATGTCAGTCAAACCTTCATGCTGTATACCTGAAACTCATACAAAGATGCTTGTCAATTGTACCTCAAAACTGGAAAAAAATAAATAAAAGTAAGGGTTAATTTTTTTACATGTAGCACAATTTTACTTTGCTTGGAATATGAAGTTTATGTCACATGAAAAACAAATAACTACTTAAAAGGAATTTAAAAGAAGCCAGTTTAGTTTATGAGGTATTTCATAACAGAAGAAATAATTTGTGATAATGACAATAGGAAGTTATTAAAGTAACTAAAATAACTAAAAAGTTACCTCTTTTTGGCACAATGTTCTTCAATATTGCTGTCCCATCTCTGAGACATCACCAAACTAAGCTCCATTTCTTCTTTTTCATTATAACAGACTAGGAAATATTAGCAAAAGGCATTTTATGACACTGCAGTGGGTCAAATCTGTCAGGAAATCAAACACTGATTCTGTCTGGACCAGGTAACACTACGTACTCAAAGGTCAAGGAGCTGAGTCTTTGAATGATTTATCACCGTGACAGCAAAGGGAACTGAGTTCATGAAACTAGGAAGAAGGTATGAAATAATATTTGGATTTCCTCCTCGCAGAATGGAGCATACTGTGAAAATATAGAAGAGAGTACTCTGATATATACCCAGACAACAGAAGGGATCAGGTATTTTATTTTTGTATTAGGTAGTGTTGAGAAACTAGAGGAATATTACATATACTTGATATACATAAATATATGTGAGATATATGTATATGAGTTAACCTCTTTTATCTTTCAATAATGGCTCTGCAGACAAAAATTTCAAACACAGACTTCAGAAGTTTTAGTGTTGCCTACAGAAGTTCACAGGAGGTCTGCTCAGTGGCTCCGGAGAGCATATAGCCTGGGGTGGCCTCGGAACCTGATCTGGAAAGCCACTGTGCCATCTTGGCCATTCCTCAAGCAATGTGACCAGTGTCAGCTTCTGAGATTGATTTATTTACTTTTAAAATTTATTTCTTCAGTCTGATCAGACCTAGAATCCATTCCTTATCTTCAAGCTACCACTGTAATTGTTACTCCAACCCATAACATTTAAATTCTCAGAGGAATTCTTTTTTCCCAAGTTCTGGGATAAGGAGGCACTTCTCTTTTTTGTCCCATTTATTAAATCTACACATATAATTACTGTATATATATATGGACAGATGATTTCTAACTTAGGTTTATGGGAAAGGGGGAGTTGGAGGAAGATGGTCAAAATACAAACTTCCAGTTATAATTTCTAGAACTGTGATGCACAACATGACTATAGTTACCATTTTGCTGTGTGATATATATGGAAGTTGTTAAGTGAGTGAATTCTAAAAGTTCTCATCTCAAGGAGAAAATTAATTCTTTTTTTCCCCATTTCTTTTTATTATATCAATATGAGATGATGGATGTTAACAAGACCTATTGTGGCAATCACTTCATGACATATGTCAGTCAAACCTTCATGCTGTATACCTGAAACTCATACAAAGATGCTTGTCAATTGTACCTCAAAACTGGAAAAAAATAAATAAAAGTAAGGGTTAATTTTTTTACATGTAGCACAATTTTACTTTGCTTGGAATATGAAGTTTATGTCACATGAAAAACAAATAACTACTTAAAAGGAATTTAAAAGAAGCCAGTTTAGTTTATGAGGTATTTCATAACAGAAGAAATAATTTGTGATAATGACAATAGGAAGTTATTAAAGTAACTAAAATAACTAAAAAGTTACCTCTTTTTGGCACAATGTTCTTCAATATTGCTGTCCCATCTCTGAGACATCACCAAACTAAGCTCCATTTCTTCTTTTTCAATCTGTGGTTCATTTTCTTCATCATCACTATTTTGGAGATTCTTGATGTTTCCAAAAGCACATGATGATGGCATCCTATGCCTTTCCCCCCGATATCCATCATTTTCCAAACCAGCAAGAAGATGTACCAGGGCCTCATCAGGACTACTCCCCACTATAAAACAAGGAAAGCATCACCAATAAACAGCGTGTTTTCTAAATAGTCTAACAATTCAGACCAGTTGTCACAGACACTGACGCATGCTCGAAGAATACAGCTAGTGCAAAGCCTTGTACGTTGGTGCAGCTCTTCCATCACAGTGTGATCCTTGGCTCATCTGCATCAGAATGATTCTGTGTCATTAGTGAACAGATTTCCAGACTAAATCCCCTTCCTACTGGATGACAGTATCTGAGGTAGGGCCTGGGAACATGCATTTTAACAAGCAGTCAGGTTTTTACTGCCCAGTTAAGCCTGAGGAGCACTAGCCAATTATGGTCACAAGTGTTCAAAATAAATATAAAATATGTAATAAACATATGAATTAATGCTAAGGATATAACTTAAAAATGATACATGTGAACATCTTATCTCTCACTTACAGGATAGTGAAATGAAACCTGTAGTGAAAAAACACAAGAAAGTTTCTAAGTGGTTAATAACATTACTTTAAAGACTTTGAAGAGCAAAATGAGATACCACTTCATAGGCAGTAGGGTTGCTAAAATTCCAGGTACTAGCAAGGATGTGAAGAAACTGCAGCTCTCACACGGCTGGTGCAGCTGCTGTGGAAACAGTGTGGCAGCTCCTCCAAATGCCGAACATAGAGTTACCATGGGACCTGGCAATTCCACTCCTAGGCACACACCCAGAGAACTGAAAACGTGTCCACAACAAAACCCAAAATGCATGACCACCACAGCATCATTCATAATAGCCAAAGAGTAGAAACAACACAAATATGCAGCGACTGAGAATTGATAAATGAAATATGGTGGACCCACATGTCAGACATTCTTCAGCAACAAAAGGAATGAAGTACTGACACACGCTGTAACATGGATGAGCCTTGAAAAGATCATGCTCAGTGAAGAAGCTAGAAACAAAAGTCACATGATTCCATTTGTACAAAATGCCCAAAACAGATAAATCAGCAAAATAGAAAAAAGGATAAGTGGTTGCCAGGAGCTGAGAGGAGGGGAGAATGGGGAACAACTGGTGATGGGGTTTCTTCTGGGGGTAATAAAAATGTCCTGGAATTAGACAGTGGTAATGATTACGTAACTCCATGAATATCCTAAACATCACTGAACTGCACATTAGAAGATGAATTTTATGGCATGTGAGTTACGTCTCAGTAGAAGCTATTATTAAAAAAGAAGAAAAAGACCATGAAGATGGAGACCTGTTCTTATCTAATCACACAACATATTGCTCTATAAAATGAGATAAGGCATTCCCCATTCATTAAAAGAGCAAGTTTTGGGTTTTCTTTGTTGACATTAAAGAAATTGGTTCAATCATGCTACCAAATGTAAAGGCAAAAATAAAGATATTTCCTTACATAGCCATTTTGGCAAAATTTCATTTCTTAAACCTAGAATTGCAGTTTGTTTTATTTTTCTTGCCTCATGCTTTTAAAAAAGATTAATATTAGCAAATGAATTATAGATATTTGACTCTCAGATCCTTGACTAGTACTAAGGTGGAATATTTTGCTGATGATACATTATATTTGCCTAACGTAGTGAAATAAGGACATGCCTGTCTTTTTGAATTCTGCATCTTTCTCTATGTTTTTCTCTTTTTTCCATTTATATTTTACAACTAAGAACATAATATGAGAGAAAGAGTGTGTGTGTGTACATATTCAGATGGAGAAATAGAACATTTCAAATTAATTTTTAATTTGGTCTTTCGATCATTTTTTTCTGCATATGACAAGCATTTGAGTTTCTTACTCTTTCTAAAATGTTCTTGAAATGGGACTGTGTACAATTCTGTTATTGTCCCTAGTCAGCCAATTCACATTCCGTTCAAATGAGAACGGAGGTACCTGAGGGAAGGCACTGTAGAGGGCTGGGGTCACAGCAGACGCGGAGTCTTGTTTGGTGTAATAAGAATGAAAAACAGAAGGTGAGCAAGGACAGAAACATAAAATCATTATACCAGGCAAAACAAGAAGCATGAAGTTCAATGATATCTCACTTTTTGCAATGAAATTCTAAAATACATTTCTGAAAAAGTTGTCAAGCAATTTAGACTAAATTACTGAAATGAAATCTAGCAAATGGCTTATGATGCTAATGAAATGCATTCAGGAGATGCAAAGACCCTCAGGAGTAACTGCCACGGTCTGTGCCTGTACATAGGGGACAGTAACTGTGATGCTCAAGCTAAGAGTGTAATGGTCTAAAAGGAACTGTCCAGGGAAATTCCTGATAGTGACCAATAATCAATTCATTATAGTATCTTATTAAGGTACTTAACTTTGGAGAATTTTAATGCAAAATAAGTGCATTCCCCTGCCTAAAGCAGTACAGTCTTCCTTCAACCAAAGAGAAGTTAAAAAAAAAAAGGGATGTTTTTCTTTCATAATCGCTTTTTAGAAAAAGCTGTGTAGAAAACAAAAAACAAAGCTACTTAATTTAATACAAGGTTTCATTTTTATACTGAGTAAAGATTTATTGAGCATGCAACATGACCCTCTTCAAATCAAAGAAAGAAATACCTCCATTCACACATGCACTTTCATTCATTTAAAATACTGAAAACTTACGGTAGAATTGTTACTTACAGAAAACTGCTGACTCACTCAGTCTTTGGGTTAAAGGCTGAAAAGTCTGACTATTTTCCATGACGTTCAAAATTGCCTCTTCATTAATAACAGCTTCCTCCAGTTTGTATTTAATGTGACCTGAAGATGATGAAGAATATGAGAACATTAAACCTAAAATTTTAGAATTTGTGTGAATTCTAGAATTTATTTTAGAATCATTACAATGTAAACCTATTTAAAATTTTGAAGTGTTAGTGATATATGTTAAATAAAAACATGAGATTTCAAATCTACTAATCACATGGAGTAATTAAAAAAGTTAAAACTGCATGGAAACTTTAAATCTGTGACTCACTAAATATTTAAAATCTCTTTAGCCTCTTTAATCCCACCTAGCTTATACAGTTATACTGCTCTGATAAAAATCATTGCACATTAATATATACAAAGGGAAGAGACACCGTCTCGTTTGAATAACAGAATTCTTTACTGTCTATGGTTTAAAAATCACAAATTCATTCTACTTTAAATCTGTATTTCTCAGAAAGCTTTCAAATCATAATCTAAAAATAAGTATTTCAACATGTGACTTTTATAGAAGTTTTAATGTAAAGAAGGATTAAATAATTTTAAGGAAAATGATAAAATGAATCTCATAATTTAGTCAAAGCAAAAGATAGAGAATAAAAAACAAACAGTAGTAGGGGGGAAAGGATTATAAGCAGACTCAATAGCAAAAAACCAAGTAACTCGAATAAAATATGGGCAAAGGACCTGAACAGACACTTCTCCAAAGAAGAAATACAGATGGCCAGCAGGCACATGAAAAGATGCTCCGCATCACTAATCATCAGGGAAATGCAAATCAAATCCACAGTGGGTTATCACCTCACACCAGTTAGAATGGCCGCTATCCAAAAGACAAGAAATAACAAGTATTGGCGGGGATGCGGAGAAAGGGGACCCTCCTACACTGTTGGAGGGAATGTGAACTGGTGTAGCCCCCATGGACAGCAGTGTGCAGGTGGTTCCTCAAAAAACTAACAACAGAAATACTATACAACCCAATAATTCCACTTCTAGGAATTTACCCAAAGAAAACAAAATCCTTGATTTGAAAAGATTCATGAACTGTATGCTTATTGCTGCACTATATATAATAGCCAAGATATTCCGTAAGTGTACATCTATAGATGAATGGATAAAGAAGATGTGGTACATATACACAATTGAGTATTATTCAGTCATATAAAAAAAAGAAATCCTGACATTTGCAACATGGATGGACCTAGAGGGTATTACGCTATGTGTCATAAACCAGATAGAGAAAGACAAATACCCATGATTTCACTTATCTGTGGAATCTAAAAACAAAACAAAATGAACAAAATAGCAGTAGACCCACAGTCCCTAAAAAGGGACTGGTGGTTACCATGGAGGAGGGACTGGGTGGCAGGGAGGGGGATAAAGGAGCACAAAAATTCTCAATCATATGATGGTCATGGGGATGTAGTACATCATGGAGAATACAGCCAGTGATTCTGTAGAATCTTCCTATGTTGACAGATAGTAGCTGCACTAGAGAGGGTGAGGATTTAATAACGTGGGTAACTGGTGAACCACTGTGTTGTACTTGAAACCAATGTAAGATTGTATATCAACTATACTTCAATGAAAAAAAAAGACTATATAGCAAAAAAAAATGGGAGGCAGTTATAAATAAGAGAGTTAACTGGAAAACAGTTCTATTTTTCTGCTTCTGGTATTCAGACTAAGTGCTTTCAACAGATTTTAAAAGAGAGTTAAAAGCTTCAAGAAGAAATATTTCTGACACATCTGAGGACATGGCTAGGGTAACAGAGAGTGGTCAGTCAAAACAAAAGAACAGAGACACAAATAACTGAAAAACACCACCTTCCAAAGTGAAAGATGAAGTCAGAAGATCAGTAAAAACAGAAGCTAGTTCTCTGACTAATAAAATAGACAAGAATGATCAAAACAAAATAGAAAGCATAAATAAAGTGTTAAAAATAAAAGGGAAAGGGCCTAAGGTAAAGGAGAGATGTTAAAGTAATAAGATTGTGTAGCACAGAGAAGACAAGTAGTGGTTCTACAGCATCTTACTACGCTGATGAACAGTGACTGTAATGGGGTATGTGGGGGGGACTTGATAATGGGGGGAATCTAGTAACCACAATGCTGCTCATGTAATTGTATATTAATGATCCCCCCCACCCAAAAGCAATACTATTGTGGGTAAATGGAAGTTTTCACACAGAATTTACATTAATTTCTCACCTGGCCTTAGTCCATTTACATACCAATGGATGTTTACCAGCAGAGCCTCCAGATGATCTGGGGCAAGGAGTGGGGAGGAAACAGCCCTTCTCTCCTCCCACCTGCTCCTGGTAAGTGACTGGTCTGGTGTCTGCTAGTCCCCAGGCGCCTGTCTGCAGAGCCCCTCCTGGAAGGGGTGAGCGGGGGAGCAAGTGCCAGCAGTGGGAGATACAGATCCAGCCTTCTGGTCCCCTGGTCCTCCTCTGGATTCACCAGATTCACAGGGAACTTGTCCCGGGAAGGGAACCCCCTTAACTCCCTGGGCTACAACTATAAAAAACTTTATATTAAAAATATGGAAAAATCAGGTAAAACAGGTAATTTCTTAAAAATATGATACGAAACCTGATTCAAACAGAGATAGAAGCCTTGAGTAGACCTGTGCAAATTAAGGAATTTGAATTACTAGCTAAAAATCCACTCCCTTCACCTCCCACCCCTCAACACAAAATCTACCCACACAAATTATGTAAATCTGGAGTTTTACAAATGCAGTCTATCAAGAAATAGATCATGCCAATCTAATAAAAATTCTTGAAAAGAGAGTTGAAAATGAGGAAAAGCACTGTAACTCATTTAATAGGGCCAAGTATGAATCTTTCTCAGTGATGAGAAAAAAATTTTAAATTCTAAACAAAATGTTAGCAAAGGAGATATAGCAAAGCTTCCAAAACATGATGCATTGTGATTGGGCTTATTTCAGGAGTGCAAAAATTTAACATTAGAAAATAAAAATTATTTTAATGTAGCTACCACATTAACAGAGTCAAAGAAAAACTGTGACTATTTCAATAAATTCAGAAAAGAACTTCTCGTAAAATTTAATGTGATATTCATTCATGATTTTTGAAAAACCAAACTTGTGAACACATGAGAAATAGAAGAGATAAGAACCCGATTAAAGTTTACCTACCAATACTCTATAGTAAATTTCATATTTAATGATGAAGTATTCCCTTTAAAGCTAGGAAAAAGACCACTATTGCTTCTACTTAGTATTATCCTACAGTTCCTTAAGCAGTGCATTCAAACATTTTTTTAAAAAGTATGAGGACAGGGTTTTAAGAAAATGGCTCCAGGAAGCTTAAAGATGGCAGTGTGAGAGGTGAGACAGAAACCTCCTCCCAAAACCACACATAATATGAAAATATAGCAAATACAACAAATCCTGAAAGAGCAACAGGAAAGAAGGCTACAGCAGACTGCGTACACCTGGGGAAAGCAGCATACCTCGAGGAAAAGGGTAAAGTACCAAAGCCATGATCCGGAGGGACCCAAGCCCTTCCTCTACCCTAGCTCACCAGCAGGAAAATGGAACAGGGGGGTGGGGTGGTGGAGGCCTAGGACTGTTGAACATCCAGCCCTGGAAACTTGCTCTGGGAGCACAAACATTATTACATGGTGCTCTGGAGATTGATGGGATTGTAAAACTGTGACAGGTGGAATACTTGAAGAGACTGAGACTCCATCCGCTTGTGGAAAACAGGTAGCCACACCGGCTGCTCTGGGATTAAAGAAAGTGGGCAGTCTGAGAGACTTCCTAACAGTGAGAGGGCTGCTAAAGTGGGAAGGACTGCACAGGACTTGCTCAGAAAAAAGGACAAGTGGACAAAATTGTCCAGGAGCACTCTGCCTAGCAGGTTGAGAACTGTCAGGAACTTCAGGCGCTCCATCACCCTGGTTGCAACGTAGCTATGAGGCCCCCCACTGCATATGTAGCCTGGTGGCTCCTTCCTCCAGGCCGGCACTGGCTTGTAAACTGGCTGCCCCTGCCATTGCACCAGGCCAGCCAGAGGGTGGCCCTGCCTACGGCAGCTACACAAGTGCAAAGTATAGAAACTTCTCCCTGAGTGCTTGGCCCACTGGCCCTGGCAGTGGGGGCAGACACTGCAGTGGGAAGCAGGAAAGAGCTCTTTCCTCCTGACAGGCACCAGCATTTCATGAGCCCCTCGCCTATGACCACCATTGCTCCAGGGGCTCAGCAGCTCCAGGGAGCAGAGTTTCTGGACACTAGAGGGTGCCACTTACAAATATGAAATTTCAAAGGAATCTGGTTCAAACCAAAACACCCGAAAGAGGGTCAAATCAAACTGAAATCATCAATCCTCCTGAAAGAGATTTCAAAATAAAAATCGTAAACATGCTCATGGAGCTACAGAAAAATATTCAAGAACTCAGGGAGGAATTCAAGAGTGAGACACAAATTTTGAAAAATACAGTATCTGAAATGAAACATACAAAGGAGGGATTTAAAAGCATATTTGATGAAACAGAGGAAAAGGTAAATTAAATAGAAATTAGAGAACAAGAATACAAAGAAGCTGAGGCACAGAGAGAAAAAAGGGTCTGTAGAAATGAAAGAATATTGAGAACTGTGTGACCAATCCAAATGGAACAACATTCACATTATAGGGGTACAAGAAGAAGAAGAGAGAAAAAGGAATGGAAAGTGTCTTTGAGGAGGTAAATGCTGAAAATTTCCCCAATCTGGGGAAGAAAATAGTCTCTCAGGCCATGGAGGTGCACAGATCTTCTAACACAGGTATGCAAGACATACAATAATTAAAATGGCAAAGATCAAGGACAAGAACAAAGTGTTAAAAGCAGCCAGAGAGAGAAAAAATATCACATACAAAGGAAAACCCACCAGGTTATCATCAGACTTCTCTGCAGAAACCTTACAGGCCAGAAGGGAGTGAGTGGTATATTTAATGCAATGAAGCAGAAGGGCCTCAAACCAAGAATATTTAAATTTAAAGGAGGGATAAAACAATTTCCAGATGAGCAAAAGCTGAGAGAAT